TTTGAGAGGTTTTCGCTATAGGGCATGTGCACTCACCAGACAGACAGAGAGAGACATAGAGACAGAAAGCGAGAAATCACCCTCCGGGGGGGTGGTCACGCCACAATCCCTTCTCCTCCATTCTCCTCTCGGGACCTTGGGCACGCACGCACATGCGCCTGGCGTGAGTTTTAAGCTACCGGGTCCGGGATGTGAACTGCGGTTGACTACGCGGGAGTCCAGCGACATAGCCATTACGCTAACTGCTGGTTCCCATTCCTCCTTCTTCTTTTTCTTGCTCTTTTCAGCCTTGACAACTCCCTTTTTTGCTGCATCAGGCTTCCTTTTAGCTCGGTATGCAACAATATCCTTTTCATAATTTTCCTTCAGCTTAGCAGCCTTCTTTTCCTAAGGTTGTTTATCAGCCTCCTGAGAAAGTTGCATCCCCTCAGTGGGGTACGGTCACACTGAAACTCCTTCTCCTCCTATCTCCATCCTGTTGCAATTTTGAGCATGCACATACATGTGTTTCTCAAGTTGCCAAGTCTGAGACTTGAACCACCTGGTCAATCATGTGGGATTCAGCTTCCTTAACCACTAGACCATGGGGTTAGATCTGAATGTTACCCATTTCCCTAAATTGTTGTAAGGATTATAACAATAAGTAATGTTTGTAAAGTGCTGAGGACAATGCATGAAGTAGAGTAGCTCCTTAGAAGTTGTTAATGATTCATGTCCTGGAACTGCATCATCATCATAAATCTCAAGTGTAGGAATATTACAAAAACCAGTTTCTAATAACTATACTTGAGACTTCATTTGGGAAAACTCGAATGTTAGGGAATGACAGAATCTGGAAGCTTTTTACTCAGTCTGGTACCTGAAGGCTGGACCCATCTGGGTTGTCAATCAATGTACCTTTGTAATCCTTCAATATGGATTGGGCTTCCCTTCTGGATAGGATAACTTCTTTTTTTTTTCTCCTGTCATTTTATTGTATTTATTTTTATTTTTTTAAGAATTATTTTATTTAACTTTTTTTATTTATTTATTTTAGTTTGACCAGAGAGGGGGAGAGAGAGAGAAAGAGAGAGAGAGAGAGAGAAAGAGAGAGATAGAAAGTGGGAAAGTAAGCTGCCAGGTCCAGGACTCGAACTGCAGTCAGCCATGTGGGAGTTCGGTGCCTTTAACCACCATGCCACCTGCTGGCCCCTATTTACTATTTTTTAAATAATTATTTTATTTAACTTTATCAATTTATTTTAATTTGACCAGAGAGAGAGAAAGAAAGCAAGAAAGCAAGCCACCAGGTCTGAGACTTGAACTGTGGTCAGCCATGTAGGAGTCCAGGGCCCTTAACTATTGTGCTACCTGCCAGCCCCATTTTATTTAATTTTATCTCTTAAAAATTCTTTTCATGGGAACCAGCAGTTAACGTAATGGCTATGTCGCTGGACTCCCACATAGTCGACCGCGGTTCGCATCCCGGACCCGGTGGCTTAAAACTCACGCTGGGCGCGTGTGCGTGCGTGCCCAAGATCCTGAGAGGAGAATGGAGGAGAAGGGATTGCGGCATGACCATCCCCCCTGGGGGATGATTTCTTGCTTTCTGTCTCTATGTCTCTCTGTCTCTGTCTGGCGAGTGCACGCACCCTATGGCGAAAACCTCTCCAAAAAAAAAAATCTTTTCAGAGGACACATATGCTCACTGGAAACAGATAGAGAAAGTAAAAAAAGCATCTCCCATGGGGCATCATCACTCTGTATTTCCTTCTCTCCCCTCTCTCTCTCCTTTTAGAATTTGGGCACACATGTGCACCTGCCCAGCATGTGTCTCAAGCTACGAGGCCTGGGACTCAAACCATGCAATCAGTCATGTGGGATCCACTCAGCTTTACCACCATATCACATTCTGGCTCTATTCTGATTTTTTTTTTAAAGAATTATTTTATTTAACTTTATTTATTTTATTTATTTATTTTTAAAATTTTGACCAGAGAGAGAGGGAGAGAGAGAGAGAAAGTGAATATGGTGCATATCAGTCAAGACAAAGACATTACCATATAGAAAACATATGGAGTGCTTCATGAATTTGCGTGTCATCTTTGTGCAGGGGCCATGCTAATCTTGTATCATTCCAATTTTACTATATGTGCTGCCAAAGCGAGCACTGGGGTACCTTCTCTTTTTTTTTTTTTAGAGAGATTTTTGCTATCGGGTGTGTGTGCTCACCAGAGAGAGAGAGAGAGAGACAGAGACAGAAAGCAAGAAATCACTTCCCAGGGGGGATGACCACACCACAATCCCTTCTCCTCCATTCTCCTCTTGGGATTTTGGGCATGCATGTATGCATGCATGCACACGCACCTGGAGTGAGTTTTAAGCTGCTGGGTCCAGGACTCGAACCATGGTTGACTACATGAGAATCCAGTGATATAACCATTATGCCACCTGGTGGTCCCAGGATAACTTCATATGTAAGGTCAGGTTTGGGGACATAGCCTAGTGGTTAAGGTAGCCCGATCTCACATGGCTGAGAACAGTTTGAATTTCAGCCTTGAGATTTGACCCGTCATGGACAGTTGGTGATGTCCGAGATACGCTCAAAGGTACACAGGCAGAGCACGGTCTTCTCTGCTCTCTCATCAGTATCTAATGGACCCGTGCCTAAAATAGCTTGATACGATGAGACTCATTCATGGGTCCTGGGGAGAATATTGAGCCTTTATAATGAGCAGAGCAAATTTTTGTGCGTAGATTATATAAGGAGCAAGCCCAAAGAGAGACTGTGCTTTGCAAGGGCCATATAGAGGACTGGGTGTCGTTATTAAGGAAGAGGCCTGTGATGTCTGTGTAATGGGAGGTGGCGCCTCCCAAATGAAGGCAGCCCGACAGACCTTAGGTGGAAACCTAACTAGCTTGGTCCTTAACACTGGTGAAAACCTGGAGTTTTGCAACATCTCACTTAATGTGCCTTTTCAGAATACAGAAAAATGTGAGAACTGGGTGAATCCTTACAGCCCATCATCTCTAATCTGCTCTCTGGTGAGACTGAAATCCAGAGAGGGAAATGACTGTCCCAAAGTTACAGAGCCACTAAATGGCATAGCCAGTAGAGGAGTTGAATGTTTTCAACTCTTGTCCTTTCTTACCTGCAATGCCAAAGTTTTTTCTAAAATTGAGCATTTTAGGCAGTGGCAAGGCGGTTCTTCTCTTAGGGAGAAAAAAATAATCTAATAGACATATTCTCCCTGAGGTCTGAATAAGTGTCATTCATTCTTTTTAAAATTTCTTTTTATTTTTCTATTTAATGCAGTTATTATCATTTTAAAATTAGTTATAGGGCACATGCACTCACTAGAGAGAGACGAAAGAGAGAGAGAAAGTGAATGAGCAAGCCAACAGATCTGGGACTTGAACCATGCTCAGCCATGTGGGAGTTCAGCATCTTAACCACCAGGCTACCTGCGGGCCCGATGTCTTCCCTTCTTTGTTCTCCCAAAATGGAGAATGGCATTTGAAAAAAAGGAGCTTTCTTAGTTTATATTAGAACTGTGATAATGGTGGTTTCTGGATCAGATTATGTAGGGCTTTGTACAGCATCATAAAGATTGTGGATTTGGGCCAGCCCCGTGGCCTCTTGGTTAAGGGGGCTGGATCCCACATAACTAATCATGCGGTTTGAGTTCTGGCCCTGGAAGCTTGAAAAATAGGCACTGTGTATGTGTGTGTATACCACAAATCCCAACAGGATAGAGAAATGGAGGAGAAGGGATTGTGGTATGACCATGCCCCATAGGGGGTGTTTTCTCTCTCTCTTTCTCTCTGTCTCTCTCTGATGAGCACACAAACCCTCTGGCAATAATAATAACAGATTAAGGTTGTGGATTTTTTCTGTATCTTTAAAAAGATTTTGTTGTAGGGCACGTATACTCACTGGAGATGGGGAGAGAGAGAGACCATGAGAGAGAGAGAGAGAGAGAAAGCACCTCCCTCCCAGGGAAAATGACCACACCACAACCTCTAATCCTCCATTTCTCCTCTTGGGATTTTGGACATGCACACACACTTGCCAGCATGTTTTTCAGGCCACTGGGTGTCCGGGACTCAAACCATGCAGCTGGCTATGTGAGATCCAGCCACCTTAACCACCAGGCCCAGGTTTTTTCTAGCTTTAATATGATGTGGAGCTGGATTGTAGCAAGGAGATTACATATATATATGTGAGTGTGTGTGTGTGTGTGTGTGTGTGGGTATATACCCACACACACACACACACACACACTCACATACTCACACACCCTGTGATTGTCATATGATTTATTATTGCTGGTTCCTAAAAGGTGAAGATGAACAAAGGGAGGCATTCAGCCCAAGGGCGTGTGGTTCAGACTGTGGGTCAGGGCTATTGGGGGTGGTGATTGAGTATGAGGAAGATAGGCGGTCCCAGGGCAGACTGTACCCATGGGTCGGTGAGGGCACGTGTGAGTGACACATGTCTCAGTTGATTAGGCTGAGCAGAGAATCCGAGCTCTCCCGTTTCTTTGTTACCTCTCCAGAACAGAGCTGAGACTACTCCGTGGGCTCCTTAAAGCCATGACAGCTCTTCTGCTAACTTTGGCTATGCTCCTGCTCACGTCTCAGGTCATCCCAGGTAACCTAGATCTCTTCAGGGGAGGAGCAAGGAGTGGAGAATGGATTTTAGATAGGACACCTCAGGGTCTAGAGCATGGATTTATGGGTGGCAAAGTTAAATACTGGTTGTCTAGGAAGAGACAAGAGCCCTTAGAGCCTGGGTTAGAACCTGCCCCACCATTTGCTAGCTCCGTGATGCCCCCAGCACACCATTTGGTTCCTCTTAAGTTTCAATTTACTAATTTCTCAAATTGAAATAATACATTAGATTATTTAATTACTATTTAAAAAAAAACTGTTTTAATTTTATTTATTGTCATTATTTTATTTATTTATTTTTTTGGAAGTTGACAAGAGAGAGAGAGAGAGAGAGAGAGAAGGAAAGCAAGAATGCAAGCCACCAGGTCTGGAACTCGAACCACCCTCAGCCATGTGGGAATTCAGCATCTTTAATCACTGTGCCTTTTTTTTTTTTTTTTTTTTTTTAAACACTTTTTTCTTGAATTCCCACAGCAACTCTCTAAAGCAAGTGTTTATATTTTCTTTCTTTGTTTTTACTAAATGGTATGTGCATTCACCAGAGGGCGAGAAAGAGACAGAGAGACAGAGAGGAAGAGGAAAAAGCCCCCCTCGCCCCCATGGGACATGGTCATGCTGCAGTCCCTTCTCTATCACTCGCTTTTAGGGATTTTGAGCATGCAACCACGTGTGCTCATTGTGTTTCTCAAGCAGCCGAGAGGTTTGGAGAGGTTTTTCTGCTATAGGGAGCATGCGCTTGCCAGAAAGACAGAGAGAGACAGAGAGACAGAAAGTGAGAAATCACTCCCCGGGGATCAGCCATGTGGGATTCAGCTGCCCCAACTACATGGAGTGGGCCTGGTGCCATATATATTTTTTTATGATTTTTTTTTTTTGAAAAAAACAAAAAGGAGCTTGATGTTCTGAAAAAGGAAGTAATGTGCTTAATATTTTTCGGTTGGCACAAACAGATAACAAATCCAGGTCTATGGGTTCTAACAAGTCATGCTCTTAACCATAATGACCCGCTGAAGCTCTAAGAGGGAGCATTTATGAAGGTCTGGGATTAGGATGTGGCAACCAGACAGAAGTGAGCCTCTATCACCACCCTAAATATCTAGAGGTGACTCCTTTTTCTCCTACGGTTCCCCTTTTCTGTCTGGCCTTCAGTTAGCCTTCCCGAGCCAGTACGGATTTTCCCTCGTGGCTGACACTGGCTTCCTTCTCTTTTCTCCTTGTCTAGGCAGTACTGAGAAGTGCTGGAATTCTCGTGGCTCCTGCCGGGATAGATGCATTCGCAATGAGAAAGTCTATGTTTTCTGCGTGAGTGGCAAGCTGTGCTGTCTGAAGGCTAAGGACCAGCCATATGTCCCGCAGCACTGAACGAGTGCTTTGAAGTCCAAGGCTATAAAAATGAAGATAAACCTGCCCTGAGTCTGACCTCAGTGGATTTCTGAGCTTTATTAAAATTCCTTTGGTTGACTTCTGTTTTTGCCTCTTATTATACCTAATCAACCTCAGCTTGAAGATGTCTGGGGAAGGAAAGAGAGAAAAGGAATGTGCTAAGTGCTATAGATTTCATCTATTCTGTATTTAAAAACAATTATAGCTTCATTGAGATATAACTGACAAATAAATATTGTATATATTTAAAGTATACAACGTGATTAGATATATGCACACATTATGAAAGGGTTACCACAGTCAAATGAATGAACATATCCATCACCTCACATAGTTCCATATTTTTACGATTGTGATTAAAACAACTAAGATGTAGTTTCTTAGCAAATTTCTTTTTATTTTTAAAAAAATTTTTAAGAGAGCTTTTTTTCTATAGGGTATGTGCACTTGCCAGAGAGATAGAAAGCAAGAAGTCACCCCCCCAGGGGGGATGGCCACACTGCAATCCCTTCTCCCCCATTCTCCTCTTGGGATTTGGACGTGGATGCACACATGCCTGCTGTAAGTTCTAAGCCGCCGGGTCCAGGATTCGAACTATGGTCAACTACATGGGAGTCATGGGAGTCCGGCAACATAACCATTATGCCATCTGCTCGTCCCAGCAAATCTCAAGTATAGTCATGCATTGCTTAAAGAGGGGGATACTTTCTTAGAAATGTGTCATTAGATGATTTCATCTTTGCGTGAACATCATGGAGTATACTCACACAAACCCAGACGGTCTACCTATTACACTCCTCGGCTCTATGGAACAGCCCAGTACAATCTCATGTGGTAAACGCTGTCCGTTACTAACCAAAATGCCATTATGTGGTACATGACCATGAATTATCAGCTAGCTGCACATTCCTTCCGAAGTCAGGGCGTGTGATGGCCAGTTCAAGACTTCAGAGCTCTCTTTTCCTCTGCCATGACTACGAGGAAGTTAATTCATCAGTCTGGGATCCAGAGTGAGATGAGGTAGTGTGCCCAGCCAACCTGTACTGGATATAAAGCATGACAAAATATAAAACTTTGTTCTTACAAAGCGCCAAGACCACCCCTCCTTCCCATCCTGCATACTCTGCACAACCTAGTTTATCTTGTAGCTGGGTATTAGAGCATCACGTCCTATATAGCTCTTTATTTCTGGGGATCAGGGGAATACCCTGTACACATGTTTAATCAAGATTTTATTTATTTAGTAAATACTTCTTTTTTTTTTTTTTTTTGGAGAGGTTTTTTGCTATAGGGCGCGTGCGCTCGCCAGTCAGACAGAGAGAGACATAGAGACAGAAAGCGAGAAATCACTCCCCGGGGGGATGGTCACGCCGCAATCCCTTCTCCTCCATTCTCCTCTCAGGATCTTGGGCATGCACGCACACTCGCCTGGCGTGAGTTTTAAGCCACCAGGTCTGGGACGCGAACCGCGGTCAACTACGTGGGAGTCCAGTGACATAGCCATTACGCTAACTGCTGGTTCCCTAGTAAATACTTCTTAAGTGCTTTTTGTAGTGTTTTCAAGTGAAGCTCATTTTAAAATGCTTGTTTTCAATTTTCCTAAAGAAGCAGTAAGCATTTTTTTTTTTTTTTGGGGGGTTTTTCTGCTTTAGGTGGAT